TCAGCATATTAGAATGATTTTTGAAGGATGTGACACTGAAGACTGGAGTAATTATGCTGAAAATTCAGCTTTGATAACAGAAATCATTTTAAAATATATTCAAATAGAAAGCAGTTATTTTTAAAATATCAAGATTTCTTTATAAAACATAAAAAATCTTACTGTTCAAGAACTGTTGACTGGTAGGTTATATAGATTACAGAAATGTCTGTACACTCACTACTTTACATTGTAGCAAAGTGTCATTTCTTCAGTGTTGTCACATGAAAAGATATAATAAAATATTTACAAAAATGTGAGGGGTGTACTCACTTCTGTGAGATACCGTATGCATGTCAGAATAGGCTAAAAAAACAGACAAAATTCACAACTAGGATTGAACAATTTGGCATTAAGGTAAAATATAATAAACTGGGTTTAGAAAAGCATTTATGAATCCTATAGACTCATAATGCGAGTATTTGCATGCATCTAATTGAAAGTGCAGCGCTTGTATTAGTGTGTGCATGCAAGTTTATTATTTATTTAACATTTTATGTGATTCGACAGTGTGATGACAAAAAGGTCAGGAGTGATGAGATTAGGTCGCTGTGTTGGCCATAACCTCCACAGAGGTGCACAGGCTCATTATAGAGGCGCTGGGCCGGGCCTTTGTCTTTCTAAAGGTCGCTGCCCTGCTATCACGGTCAATCTGACTGACACGCAAACAGCGCAGGCTCCATGAGCCCCTATAAAAGACACACCAGGCCGATGAGAGGTTAGACCATCTTTCAAACCAAGAAAGGACCACTGAGAAACACTTTCAGAACTTTCACTCTCATCGCCGTCGTCATGTGTAAAGCTGCAGTTCTCACACTCGGCCTGCTGGTGGCGCTGCTGGGAGGCGCTCAGGCCACAGACGGACTCCCGATCTACGGGGTGAAGCTGTGCGGCAGAGAGTTCATCCGGGCGGTCATCTTCACCTGCGGAGGCTCGCGATGGAGGAGGTCTCTGAATGTTTCAGGTATGAGACAGATGTGAGATTTAGACATGAATTAAAAAAAAAAAAATCAAGAGTTTTGTTTACTGTATATTTGTTAATTCCAATACAATACACACACATTTAGAGGAACCCAAATACAACGATGAGTTAATATTTTGACACAATATTAATGAAATGACTATTTGGCTACAACAATAAAAACATACATTATTTATTTAATAATAATTATTATTGATAATACACATACATTTAGAGGGCAAATTGAACCACGTCATTTAATTTTTATTATTATTATTATTGATAATACACATACATTTAGAGGGCAAATTGAACTACATGTAATCCACAAACCCATTTTATGTAAGTTATTTCAACTTTTTTTTATCTTTAGAGTTCAACAATAAACATATATATTATTTAATAATAATTTATATTATTAAGTAATTAAATCATTATTCATTAAATTGTTATTTTATTTGATTATTTATTTATTATATACAGATATACATATGTATGCACTATTATTATTAATAAAATATTATTAATAATTAAGTTACATTTACTAGAGTGCAAGTCTAAAAGGGGCAAGTTTTTTTTAAAGAATAGAAATAGAATAGAGAGTGCTAGAGTTTGAGGGTCAAATAAAGTTAGGTTATTAATTAAAATGGTTTTATGGTATATACAGTATGTATGTATGTGTGTGTGTGTGTGTGTGTGTGTGTGTGTGTGTGTGTGTGTGTGTGTGCGCGTGAGTGTGTGCGTGTGCATAAAATGACCTGACATGATGCTGCTGGTTGGCAGGGTGTTGCTATGCAGTTGCTAGGGTGTTTGGGGTGGTTGCTAGATGGTTGTTTACTTGCCAAAAGTGTCTCACCCACTGATCTATATATTATAGATCAGTGGTCTCACCTCAAGTTTCTGTGATATTCTGGTCTCTGTGGCTCATGTTCGTCATTCAGTGTACATGTACAATATACATTAACTCATTAGCATGACGAGTTACGTGCTGAAGTTTAATACTAGGGTTTGTTTGAATCACTACCACTAACTATGAGCAACAATAATGGTGACATATTTTTGTTGTGTTGTTCTTTGATCAGGTGATCTGTCCAGTGATCTGCTCTCCACTCATGACGACGAGGCCTCTGACAGCTGGGTCGCCAACCCTCTCATCCCTGGACTGTCATACAGACCCCGTCCCGACGCAGAGGCCCCTGTCTGGGCAGGAGAGGGCCAGGAGAGCCCCGTGTTCAGCCGCCCCGCCCGCTCACTCATCTCTGAGGAAGTGCTGGAGGCCTTGCGCACGTCAGACAGGAAGGGGCGGGACGTGGTCGTTGGGCTGTCCAATGCCTGCTGTAAATGGGGCTGCAGTAAGGGCGAAATCAGCTCATTATGTTAAAGGACTGCGTGATCCTATTTCTCTCCGCCCTTCCTCGCCTTCTACTTCCATTCCAACCTTCCTATATGTGAAGAATGAAGGTGGAGAGTTTGTGGAAAGTTGTTCCGATGAAATACTGAAAATATATGTGTGTCAAAAACGTAGGAATAGCAGATTTTAGCCAAAGTGAAGAGCCTATTTGTCAGTCTATTTAAAAACTGCTCATCTCTGTACTTGTGATACCCTTCTGTGGTCATTGATTTAATAACAGCAAACTGAAATAAAGTTTTGATTGCGATACAGATTGGTGTCATGTGGATTCCAGGATCATTTTAAT